AGAACTGGTCAGATTAGATCTCAGGAAAAGAAACGTTTCCTCAATGCATTACAAATGTAAAATCTCTAAAAACCGAATGTTTCAACAACAAATTACAACAGTGAAATCTTTACAAATGAAGTGTTTCCTCAACAATACATTTACAATGACATATTCTGGTGGAGGTGCAACATATTACAGGCAAAAAACAAACAAACAAAAACTGAATATAACAGAAAAATATTTAAATATTAAAATGTACACGTAATATCATATATCTTCAGCTTATGATGGCTGAAGGGCAGCTATTAACAATGACAAAGACAAATGGCAAGCAAGAAAATTTAAATATTTTAGGTTAACTCTAAACTGCAAAGAGACAAGATTGTAATTGTAGCATGGTTGCTTGGTTTGCTTCTGTTGTATTTACATTTACACAGCCACAATCCACAAAGATGTTTTTGTATATTGAAACTATTAAGACTATATTATAAGTATATTTTGCTTAACTTGTTCAAAATAAATAAATAAAATCTGTATACAAATTATTTTTACAAATTGAAAGTACAGTAGTATCTAAGCATAATGTGAGCGTGAGAGCTGTCCAGGTGCTACAGGACGTAATGCAAAGCCAGACTGATGACAACATTAACTGCAGGAAGTGAGACGTAGTTTTGACTCGATGCAGGAAAATGTTGAAAATATTTTTTTTAAAACCTGACTTGACTTGTGTTAGTACAGCTCGTGTATTGCTTATTTTTTGCATAAAACCACACCGAATAATTTATATCTGTAATATATGTGTTGCAGTAAATGTTTGTATGAAAGTTTGAAGATTTGCATATTTTTGTGTATTTGTAAATCATGTATGCATATGTGGATGAGTTTCTAAGTTCAGTTTGAGATGGTGTTAACCATCGTATAAAGTATACTCGAAATGCAAAGTTTGAACATAAAACCTTCCATTTTCACTACTCAGGATACAACCTTCTGTCCTGTTTAGCAAAGACAAACCCTGTTTTTGTGCCCCATTAATAGTCATTTGTTTAGACATAAATTTCATTCTAGAAAATTAATTTGGTTATTTGAATGCATTTGATTATTGGTTAGATTTTTTATTTTTAGTGGATATTCTACATTGGAAAAATGGCTTTTTGCCATTTTATTCTATTTGTTAAGCTAAGTGGTTGCAAAAAAATAATTTATTGTACTTTTAAACAATTATGTTTACTTAATTTATGGTTTTAGTGTTTTGTCATTTTTTTCTGCAGCTAGAACTGCACAAATAGGAAGTAACACTCTTCAGCACGATGGTAACCACAAAATCCTCAGCACAACAAAAAAATCTTTTAAATGTCAAACATAACTGAACATTGAACATTAACTGGTCTTTCCCTTCACTTAAAAACCCATAAAACAATACTTAAAAAAGATTTGTTTAATGCACTTTAACTTGAAAGTTAACTCAAGATGCATGAGCAGAATTGTATATCACACTGTTGCTCAGAGGGAAAACACATTAGGAGCAGTGTGCATTTGGTTGAGTTGAGTTAAAAAAAAAAAAAGAACAAACAAAATGCATTTCCTTCAAGTGCTTTTGTTCCAGATAGAAACTATTTGTGGAAACAATTCATGTGAATGTTTAAAGGTGGGGTAAGCAATTTTTCAAAAACGCTTTAGAAAACTGATTCGGGCCGACTAGCAAAACAAACTTGTAGCCAATCAGCAGTAAAGGGCGTGTCTACTCATGATGTGGAGAGCGTTCAGTGCACAGCACAGGACGGACATTAGCCGAGAGACAGAAAGATGGCGGATAAAAAAACAAAAGAGGAACAAAATGTCTGCGGAACATAAGAAGGCTTAAGGCAAGAAATAGGACCCGTGTAAATATCGGATCAGCTTTCCAGCTCTGGAGAGAACTCCAGGAGCGGAAGGCCTGCGATCGGACGCCGAGGTTTCAATTTCACACATCTTCACCGTACACAATTCTTTAAAAAGCTCACAGTTGGCTGCATTAAATTTCCATTTTGGAATTCTCTCCATTAAGGTTTGTATGATGTCCACACCAATTTTACACCATATTGGATAGTGATTACTTCCCATTCATAGATATGTATATACAGTGGGTACGGAAAGTATTCAGACCCCCTTAAATTTTTCACTCTTTGTTATATTGCAGCCATTTGCTAAAATCATTGAAGTTAATTTTTTTTCCTCATTAATGTACACACAGCACCCCATATTGACAGAAAAACACAGAATTGTTGACATTTTTGCAGATTTAAGTCAACCATCACTGCAGCCCTCCACCAGTCGGGGCTTTATGGCAGAGTGGCCCGACGGAAGCCTCTCCTCAGTGCAAGACACATGAAAGCCTGCATGGAGTTTGCTAAAAAACACCTGAATAAGATTCTCTGGTCTGATGAGACCCAGATAGAACTTTTTGGCCTTAATTCTAAGCGGTATGTGTGGAGAAAACCAGGCACTGCTCATCTCCTGTCTAATACAGTCCCAACAGTGAAGCATGGTGGTGGCAGCATCATGCTGTGGGGGTGTTTTTCAGCTGCAGGGACAGGACGACTGGTTGGAATTGAGGGAAAGATGAATGCGGCCAAGTACAGGGTTATCCTGGACGAAAACTTTCTCCAGAGTGCTCAGGACCTCAGACTGGGCCGAAGGTTTATCTTCCAACAAGACAATGACCCTAAGCACACAGCTAAAATAATGAAGGAGTGGCTTCACAACAACTCTGTGACTGTTCTTGAATGGCCCAGCCAGAGCCCTGACTTAAACCCAATTGAGCATCTCTGGAGAGACCTAAAAATTGCTGTCCACCAACGTTTACCATCCAACCTGCCAGAACTGGAGAGGCTCTGCAAGGAGGAATGGCAGAGGATCTCCAAATCCAGGTGTGAAAAACTTGTTGCCTCTTTCCCAAAAAGACTCATGGCTGTATTAGATCAAAAGGGTGCTTCTACTAAATACTGAGCAAAGGGTCTGAATACTTAGGACCATGTGATATTTCAGTTTTTCTTTTTTAATAAATCTGCAAAAATGTCAACAATTCTGTGTTTTTCTGTCAATATGGGGTGCTGTGTGTACATTAATGAGGAAAAAAAAATTTACTTAAATGATTTTAGCAAATGGCTGCAATATAACAAAGAGTGAAAAATTTAAGGGGGTCTGAATACTTTCCGTACCCACTGTATATCTATGGTGTAGACAGCATCACTGATTATAATGAGTTCTATAGTATTTTGTCGCGCCGGGCCACTCGCGTCCGGTGTAGACACGGTGTAACATTGGTTTTGCTTTGTTTCGTACGCCTGGGTTGCTTACGTATGTGTGGGGTGGAGCTATCAAAATAGGGGCGAGATCCTTTTGGGGTAGGGGCGTGTTTGTTTTGGTGATTTCAAATGTCAACATTGGCTACCAGAAATCGCTTACCTCACCTTTAACCATCAGATCCAGGGAGCTCAATTAACACCAGAGCCTGTTAACCATCCCGCAGCAGGCCTGTGTGTGTGTGTGTGTGTGTGTGTGTGTGTGTGGTAAATATAATGTGTTATATTATAAATATAATGTCACTGATAAAATGTAAGGTTTCACTGGCTTTTGCAATCCCATCTAATAGCAATCCACATCAGCTGACTCAGGAGAGAGATGTCTGCAAACACACACTCACAAACACTCTCTCTCTCTTTTCCCAGGTTGAGAGGCTGGACATGATTGGCTCTTACAGAAACTTACCTTTGTCTGAGTGGCTGGCAGATCTTGTGTCTGATGAAGACACACATACACTCACCTGGTTGCTCATGGGAACACTCGTAGTGTTGCACAGCTCCAAACAATGTCTGTTTGTTTCTCTTCTGATCTGGTTACCCAAGGTAACAATGACATGACATTTTTATGAATGATATGTTTTTCTTTTGCTTCTTCTAGTAGCCACGGTTCACCACCACTGATGAGTAAACAATAGGACAGTCAGTCGATTAAAATATTGAATTGAATTAATAAAAATATGCTGACCAAGATATCGGTTAAGACATTTAAAGACATTACTGTGGAAGACGAAAGCACTGAATTGATACAGGCCGAATTCATACAGGATGATGCACTTTATTTTTCAATTGGAGCATCTTTTTCACTGTTTTTTTAGTGTCTTACTCCATGAGTGTCACTTTTTTATATACTGTATATAATTGTGTTATATGAAGTCACTACCACAAGATTACTACAATTATGAAACAAAGTCCAATAACAAGTCATAATTGCAAGATATAGAGTAGTACCGTAAAGTTACATTGAGACATTTCCTTCAATCCCAAAACAAAACACAAACAATGCATAATTCAAAAGACTGGTAAAACAGCTGTGAAACATCAATGCAGGTCCTTCCATAGAGTGCACTTTACGGTCCTTTCATAGAGATACAGTATCGTATGTGTAAACATACCTGGCAATAAAAACTCATTCTGATAAAAACTCATTCTGGAATGTTGTCAGACCAGTTCTCTATTATTTATCTATAAACACCGGGAGTGTGGAGACAGAAACCAGTAGGGAAAAATATTTTCCTGGTCACATGACTTTTTCAGCACACACAGACTGTTTTAGCATAATTAATTATATAATATAATATTGCATAACACTTTTTAAATTGAAGCTTATGTATGGAATATGGTGAAAATATAATAGATATATACTAGACTAAATATAACAGGTGTTTGTTTTGTTCTAGTGTTTAATGTCAGAAGCATCTTGAAGAGTTAGATTACCCAAAATGAAAATTATATCATAATTTACTCATAAAAACAGAAAAAGAAGATATTTTGAAGAATGTTTTAACTATTTTTGTTTTAGCTGTTACATAGAAAAAAGAAAATCATTCTAAAATTACATGAGGGTGAGTAAATTATGACTTCTTTTTTTGGGTGAACTATTCCTTTAAAGCACAAATAGTTAGGCATTAGCATGTGGCTAAGCTAACCACACAAAAACATTGTCCACATAAATATTGGGTAAAATACTCAAGTTTTAATTACACTGAACCATTTTTTATCAATACTTGGCAGTACTGAACAAATATCACACATTTCTCTTCAAGATGATGGCCCCATCTGCCATCTTTAATGTGTTTTTTTTTTCAGAGCTCGTTGCAGTGCTTTCTCAGATTGCCTTCTTCACAAAACAATGTGATGCAGCTTTAGAATTTGACCAAAAAAATAAATAAAAATCTTATAAGTCAGCATAATTAAGTTACTTAAGTTTTTCTAGTCTTCATATCAGAAGCATGCCAACACAACAAAACAATACAGATGGTCTCAAGGAGTAACTAAAAGTTGCTAATGTAGCATTTTTCAGCAGCATATCTGATTCTTTAGATAACTTACAGTATATAATACAGTGTAAGAAGATTAAACATTCAGTTGGCATGTTATCACACCTCTTTCCATAAGAGATATATGGTAGGTTTTTCTTCAGAACAATTAATGCTGATTCATATCTCCATCTTTATAAGCATCTGACACCACACCTCAGGATGGCTGGGCGAGGCGGTGTGTCAGACACGAAAGAATGGGAACAGGTTTTTAAGTGTACGACTTGTTTTAAAGGAGTGGAATATGTTCAAATAAGAGGCTTGTGTTAAAGACAAAGAGGTGTGTACTTAAACCATGTAGTTATGCGTTTGTGTGAGAAAAAAATGAGAAAGAAAGAGGGAGGAGTTGTATTTAGGAGGTGTGGTGCTTAAAAATAGACCATTATTTAAGGGACGGGCGGTCATGGGATGCTTTACAAATATATGGAAAAGGAAAACAATCACACGCACAAATACTGTAAGTATAGTATGGCACGATTTCCCCATAAACATAGCTGTGAATACGCTTTCTGGGCTGGGTATGAGAGTTTACACAGTTTTATTTATATGTTTAATATCTAAATACACATTTTAAAAAGACTAAAAAATACAATCAAACATTTTGCTATTTGGACACTTTTGAAGGACCATGTGATTAGTCAGTCTCTAGACTCAGAGCTGGGCACTGTTGATGAGGTCATAGGTGACCTGTGCCATGTCAAAGGCTTGATGTGAACATTGAGAGGACAGCAGAGTTTGCACTGAGGTTTTTTGGGAAGGGCTGTAGATAAAACGAGCACGTTGAGATTCCACTTCCTCATCTGCCCAGCAGGGAGCAGGCATCTCCACAGAGTATAACAATAGATACACGCTGCCCATAAAAACGCTTACAAACATCTGCTTTAACACGTTAATATCCCTCTGAAATACACAGAAACACACATTGCATGTAAACAGCATGAATAAATCAATGAAAATAGTACTGTGGCAATCATGTGATGTTCACAGACACACACACACACACACACACACTGTACCTTTTCAGATCTTCTCAGGTTATTCTCTGATTCGGTCCATGATTTCTGTAAAATCAGGTTCAAGTTTAGTACTTTTGATAATATACACCCCATCTATAACAAGTATACCCCCAAGTACGTTATGCAGATTTTTGTCCCCAGAAGTTAATTTAACTAGACAAAAAACTAAATCTCTTTGGTTTTGCCCTCAACTGGTAAATAAATGTATAAATAAAATATATTTTTAACAATAATTGATTTTATAGTTAAATAAATAAAAAAAATAATAATAACATTATATTTATTATTATTATTATTCAAAATAATAATAATACAAATGTAATAATAATATAATATTTTCTGTTAAAAGTAGAGTTCAGGTACAGGGTATTAATTATACTTATTTTTATGTATAGAAACATAAATAGTGTTTATTAATGAGAACACGGCAAGTAAAAGTGTGTGTTTATTTGACCAGTCTCACCCTAAATGCATCCATCAGGTCTGCCTGATCTAGAAAATCAGGGAAGGAGGCTAGAACCGAGCTGCAGATCAGATCTAGGTAGAACACAGAGCCAAGCTATTACATTCTCAGTTCCATTTATGTTTTACATTTACATTTGCTTTCTTTTCTGACCGTTTCTTACCAAAGAAATTGTATATAGTGTATATAGTAAACCTCAGATACGCATTAGGTACCCTTCAAGCACTAAGATAAAACTAAGAAGATTCAATGGAATGTGTGTGTGTTACCTGCATTATACATGGTGATTCTGTCCAATAAAAGAGCATCAGCAAGTATTTGCCTGTATGTTGCCAGGAGATGTAATGTGGACAATCTTCCTACTACAGTGTCTGGCAAAAGACTTTAAAAAATATTTAGTAACAAGACCATATTTGCTTTTTCATGAATATTTATCAAAAAACCCTATGGAACCCTACAGTTGACAATAAAACTCTGAGCAACCGTTCAAAAGTTTGGGATCTTTTTAGATAAATTAATATTTACATTCACCAAGGGAGCATTAAATTGATCAAAATGAGAGGCATTTATAATGTTACAAAAGATTTCTATTTCAAATAAATGCTGTTCCTTTGAAGCTTCTATTCATCAAAGAATCCTGTAAAAATGAATCATGGTTATTGGTTACCACAAAAAATTAAGCAGCACAACTGTTTTCAACATTGAGAATAACATGAAATATTTTTTGAGCATCAAATCAGCATATTAGAATGATTTCTGAATAAGGGACTTTTCAAAAACATTTAAAAAATCGTACTGACCCACACTTCAAAACATTAATGTATACTCTAGTCTAGTGTGTAGGCATTCTTACTTCAGAAGCTCTCTGCTGCGTGTGTTTACTGATTTGTGCTTAACAACAAGTTTAGTGATCCTCCTGGACAGCAAAACCTGCTGAAACACACCAGTAGGATATCCTAAGGACAGAACAGAAGACATCAGTTTGTATATATTTGTGTGTGTGTACAGGTTTTTTTACACTGGTGGGGACTTAAAGCTGAATACACACCAACTCATGTGGACTTGTGTCACTGTGGGGACCTAAATTGAGGTCCCCATGGATGCAAAAGCTTATAAATCAAACAGAATGAGTTTTTTTGAGATTGTAAAAATGCACAAAGTTTTAGGTGTAAGGTTGGTTTAGGTGTAGGGTTGGTAGGGTGATGGAAAATACAGTTTGTACAGTATAAAAACCATAACGCCTATCTACAAGGATAGTGAACCAGACTGTGTCAGTGGTGAGCGGTGACTTTTTTAACCGGGTATGCTGAGTGATAAGATTAAGCACCCCTCCCCCCTCAAAAGAGGAAAACACCGTGGCAGGTGTCGATTTAAAAGTATGCACATTCCTACTTTATTTGTAAATGAAATTCATCTCCAATCCTTCTTCTATAGTTCCAGGTAGTTATTCGAATGCTAGAAAACAGATGCTTTTCCGAGTAAAAACAGCCAAATAACGTAGTTACTTTATGATATGTAATATTCAGAGGGTGGGGAGATGGGGGATTCCCCCGCACTATATGTCTCTGCATCGACTGAATGATTTTGTAAATTTTATTTATTTATTTATTAATTAATTCATTTATTTTTATTCCCAGTTCCTTTGCAGACAGCTTACCTCGTGCATGAAATCACCCACAGACCAGCAAACCACTGAGAAGAACGCGCTATAATCCACCCGGAAGCAACCGCAACAGACTTAGATTTACAGAAAATTACCGTTGTTTTCAAATAAATAATTTTACATGCTTATTCCCAACACTTTATTAAACTTTAAGTCCCATCTCAAATGACAAGGGACCGACTTATAATCATGTTTATATTAATTAGCCCATGAACTCATTCTCTCAGACGGCCTGGGTATGCAGTGCATTCACAGCTTATATGGACGGAACGCCACTGCTGTGTGTGTGTGTGTGTTTGTAAGAGAATGTTACCTTTTTTGGTAGATGTAGTATCCATATCAGTGTCTTTTTCAAATCGTGTGCCACCATGGATAGTGAGCTCTTGTGTCCTGCACACACATGCATATAGTTTGTGAGTAAGTATATAAGGAAAAAAATATAACTGATATGCATCTATCATATTCTAATAAGTGAATTAGTTTGTACCGTAGAGCAATGGGGGCTCCACTTTCATCAAATAATTTAAGGAAAGCCCAGCCACAGCTGAGGTCTCCTCTCTCCCCTGTGGACTGAAAGAGAGCACAAACATATTTACCAAAGAACCCGTGTGCAAGAAGATTTTTGCTGGATACTGATATCATTTTATTTACAATAGCAATTTCAAAATATGGAAGGAAACCTTGTAGATAGTCACGCCACTTTAGTCCGTTAATAAAGGGATAGTTCACCCAAAAAAAATAAAATTCTCTCATCATTTACTAAATCATTTACTGTTGTTCCAAAACTATATGACTTCTTCTGTGGAACATAAAAGTAGATATTTTGAGAAATACAATGGAAGTCAATGAACTCCAATGTTGTTTCTAATGTTACTCAAAATAACTTCTTTTGTGTTCCGCAGAAGAATGTAATCCTTACAGGTTTGGAACGACTCCAGCGTGAGTAAATAATTTTCCTTTTTGGGTGAACTATTCCTTTAATAGAGATAATTGCATGTATTTATGTAAATATGTGAGAGGGTAGTAGATAAGTGATCTTTTGTCTTTCTGAGGTTACGAAGGCCTTGTGTCCTCTTTGATCAGAGTTGGGTGGTACTGGCATATGATTGTTTAAATGATAAGAAATATTTTTTGCAAGAAATAGTTACTCACATTTCTTATGTAGGTCACACCCAATTCAAACAGAATTCCAAGATCAGGAGATTCAGAATCACAACGCAGGAAACAGTCTCCATCTAGTAGACAGGGCAGCATCCCAGTCATCTGAAATACACACATACAGGGGAAAATACAGATTAAAAATATGAACTGTTAGATCACATAAAAGTATATACAGTGGGGTCTAAACCTCTGAGAACATTGGTGAACATTTTGTATTTTTAATTTTGTATTTTTTTAAATAACTTATATTATCAGCATAACAAGTTGTGACATTTCTATAGTTCAGAATCTTACATATTTTTTATTCATTTCTTTGTTTCAAAATTTCAAAATCTTAAAACTTTCTTTATTACTAGGTTTACATTCGATTTCAAATCCCAGATTTTTTATGTGGCCTTTGAATTTTGTTCATGCGTTTGCATGTGTTTAAGTGTAGCTTAGTCTTACCCGTGGAGAAAAGCTCCAGGTCTTTGGGATCTTGGAGATGTAAGTGACTCTGACTGTGTGAATGTTACTCAAAACCTGACAAGGAAAATATTAAAGTAAACTTAACAGGTGGAACAATGAGTGAGAGGGAAACAATGCCACAATGTACACTGCATTTGTGTCACACAACACCAGTTTACAATAAACGTTGGGAAGACAAATGGGTTTTGAATGGGCGTTAGAATTATTTTACCATTTACAATGACTTAAGTGATTCAGAAACATCAAAGTAAAGATGAACTGTGCACAATGAATGTTGGACATTACACAATAATACTACACTTATCATGCATAAACATGCACTGAAACATTTCTTGGATCTCTCCCAAATATTTAAAATTACTGAAAATAAGTAATCAAACAGAATTTACATCCACAGTGTGCAAAAAAAAAAATCCAGAGTTGTGAAAGACAAATAATGTACAGATACCAAGTAATGATTAAACCCTTAACACTCAAGACTCAAATATGCCATAATATTTTACACTCATGCTTTTGGATTGCAACTGTATTAATTCAAGCACCCCAGTTGTTAATCTCATGATGCTTTGTTATTTGTTTTAGGTTGGTTCCACCCTGATTACTGTATGCAAATCTCTCTCTTTTAAGATCATAAAGGGGCAATCATTCTGGTTGTAGGTGCAGCAGTGTGTGTGTGTGTGTGTTACCTGGGATCCATTAAATGCACAGAGCCGAACGTGCCTGCTGAGCACCTGTAACCCAACCCCGGGGGGTGGGATCATTCGACAACTCCACAGGGTCAGGGTTAAACTCACTCTAGATGGGCGTCCGTGAACCTTGACAAATACACACATACACATTCTTTCTTTTTATATGTTGCAGGTCAAAAGTTTGGAATAATTACGATTTTTAAAATGTTTTTGATAGAAGTCTCTTATGCTCACCAAGGCTGTATTTATTTGATACACTAAAAACTGGGAAATTGTGAAATATTATTACAATTTAAAATAACCATTTTCTATTTCAATAACTTTTAAAATGTAATTTATTTCTGTGATGGCAATGTTAAATTTTCAGCAGCCATTACTCTAGTATTCAGTGTCACATGATTCTTCAGAAATCGTTCTAATATGCAGAATTGCTGCTCTATTACTATTGGTGCTCAATTATTAATAATAGTTTCTTATTATCAATGTTGAAAACATTTTTGCGGCTTAATATTTTTATGGAAACTGTTATATATTTTGTCAGGATTCTTTGATGAATAGAAAGTTCAAAAGAACTACATTTATTTGAAATAGAAATCTTTTTTAACATGACAAATGTCTTTACTTTTACTTTTGAACAATTGAATGCGTCCTTGCTAAATAAAAGTATCACTGATTTCTGAAGGATCATGAGACACTGAAGACTGGAGTAATGGCTGCTGAAAAATTTAAAACATTAAACATTTTTTAATCGTGATTACTCATTGTAATTATACTTCACAATATTACTGTTTTTACTGTATTTTTCAAATAAATTCTGCATTTATTGTTTATATTTTAAATATATATTTATATACTTTATATGTATGAATTTTGTTATTCAAATATTAGTAAATGTAGCTAGTGTGTCCATTGCAATTCGGTACCTTGCCTGTGTCTGGTTCCATATGAAGATCTTTAAAGGAGAGTTGTGATTGGCTAAGCTTGGGCTGAATGAAGTGACTTGCTCTATAAGATCTCCCTGCTTGACACAAACACACACACACACACACACACACACAAAGTATACATATGATACAACTGTAATATATCATTATAAAATCTGAATTCTTACCAGATATAATGTAAAACAAATCAAACAAACAAACTGTGTTCTAGGTTAGTAAGCTGTTTAAAGTATGAAAATGGCATTTCATCTATAGGTTTTGAAAATTATAGGGACAGATAGTGACCTTCCTCTAGGAGTCTGGAGAGAGTGGAGGGTCTGAAGCCTGGTGGGATGGCACCCATTTCTGAAAGCACATCAGTAGCATCTATCTGCAGACACAGCACATAAGCACACTTCAGTATGTGAGGGTGTTAGTTAGAAGTGTATGTTAATATGTGTTTTAAAATTTTTAAGGGTGTAATTATCTAATTAGAATATACCTCAGCAAAAGCCTTCCGCACTGTGTTCCAATTTCTTGTTACATGTGCTAATTAATAGTGTTTTCACTATATTTTGGATATAAATATCCATTGCAGAATTGCTGTCATACGGCTCGCTCACTGAATCGCTGGCCGTCTCAGTGATCAGCCGGAAAACAGTGATTCTGTCCTAATGCCCTTACATATTAATGGTGGAGTTCCCTTTAAAATCTTAAATTATTCCCTTTGAGCTAAATTATTGACCTGTTTCCCTTACAGATGTTTTGCTAGTTGAAAAAGAGACAGTATTAAATCATTTTCTTTAACAAAGGCTGCATATTAACTTACACTGTTTAATTTATTTCAGTTTCAGAAATGACTGAAATTGTGAGCTATATTCACTGCTTTTTCATTAATATAAAAGCACAGACATGCACAAAACAACAAAATGTGAAAACAATGCTGCTATCTAGTGGAGAGAGAGGAAATATCACTTGGACTTTATGTCAGACTTCTTCTTCTTCACTCTCCCGCTCATCCTCATTCTCTCTCTCACTATCCTGCAGAGAAGCCATCTGAAGACGCACGGTTAAAATACATTTACAGATGTAATTCTTCCATTAATTATCTAAACACAGTTTAATGCGTGTGTACGACTTTCATGTTATCATCCTGTTCTTCTTCGTCAGCATCTTCATCCTCAGAGTTCTCATCTTGTTCATCAGTATTTTCCTCCTCGCTCTCCTGTTCTGTCTGAGATGAGCCGGCCATTCTATGTGGCCAAGGAAAAAATTGGTATTGTTTAAAAAAAAAAGTTATTATTATTCAAATATAAATGATTTCATATGTATAAAAGTAGGTCTAAAAACGGTTTGTTTAGTTTGTTTGAATGCTTGATTAAGGCTCTGGGATTTGATTTGTAAGATTTGTTTGAATGGATGAGGTTACATACTCATCATGAGGCTGCAGCTGAAGAGCTAGAGACTGTAGACGCTCACATAAAGTCAACAAATGTTTCTCTTCTTCCCTCTTACACTGATCATAATTCCCCACTGGAGCCGGCTCATCTACCTGTGCACATGGAATTTAGCATTAAAATTACACAAAAATAATAGTAGGATCTAACATAATACATTGTAAAGGGTTCAGTGAAAGTTCACACGTGGTAACATGATTTATGGCTTGAACAAACATTGAAGAAAAAAATCTTTTCAATACAACATTCTGCTGAGTGTTTACAGTCTTTGGGAAAGTTGCATTGCTTTGCTCCAGCCTGCAGATCGTGTCTTTGATCCAAGGTTGAAAGCTTGATCCTGCTGAGCGCTGGAGAGGTGCTGATAGACTCCTCGTTGTTTGTGAAGTCAGGAATACTATATATCAGGCCTTGCTGCCACAAAACTCGCGTTTCAGGTACGACTATGCGCCTTTTAAGTTGTAGAACGAAACCACAGACCTTATAACCCATCACTGAAAGTTCAACAGGAAATCCATTGCTTTAAATGCTATTTGTCTTCCGATTTTTAAGACTATAACGAAATATTGGTTCATTTAAAGTACTGTAGAAGTGTAAAAGTTGAATTTGTTGAGCTAGGAAGGGCGCGTTTTATCATTAAATTTGTGTAACGTCTGAGCCTTTGCTTTGTCTGAGGAAAAGAGATAAGAGACATGGCTAGTAGGGGTGAACTGCAAAAGTGAGACAGTTTTTGTGATGGAGGACTGATAAAAATTGAATGTTGTCATCCTTTGTGTGTTTTTGTAATGCCACCACACCCAAAAATCTATTGAAACAATATTGGATGCAATTTATATGGTAAAATAATGATAGACTTTTCTAAATAATTAGGCATAAACGTAAAGTGCTAAAGTTTCTAAAATCAGCAAAAGTTTATAAACAAGAAAAAAAAAGAAAAAAATGAAACGAGTCATAGCAGATTCAGGTTGGTTTTGGAATACGGTATGTTGTTTGTTGTTGATCCAAGATAGTCTGACAGCTCTAACCAGCTTGATCTCGGTCCACTTGCTAGATAAGATTGGACCAGCTAAAGACCACAGATAACCAGCATAGTCAAGCTAGAAAATAAAGCCAGGTGCCATCAGAAGTGTAACCCAAGCTACCATAGTAGATCTTATGTTTCATTCATTTGTGTTTGCTGAGATCAGTTAGATGTTAAAGCATGACCTATGACATTTATTAAAGGGGTCATGTGATGCTATTTTAAAGATCATTATTTTGTGTATTTGGTGTAACAGAATATGTTGACATGCTTTAATGTTCAAAAAACACATTATTTTTCAAATACTGTACATTATTGTAGGTCCTCTATGCCCCGCCTCTCTCAAACGTGTCATTTTCAACAAAGCCCCCTCCTTTGACAAGTGCAGTCTGCTCTGATTGGCCAGCTGACCCAGTGCATTGTGATTGGCCGAACACCACACGCATGCGTCGGAAATGTAAAGCCCCTTACCATAAGCTTTCAAAGTAAATATCAAGACAGTTAATAATGTTGTTAGTTTTACCATCAGTTCAAGCCTGAAAGGGCAACAGAGTTGCATGACAGACACAGTGATGATGCAGTACACAAGCCACAGTTAAGACAGCTGACGTGCTATGATTTCTGACAGGCAGTTCACTCTTCTGTGATGTGACCCTGTTCCCCTCACACACACACACACGACGTGCTACTCTGCGCTGCGCAAAACTCCGCATTTGAACAGTCAATAGCAAATACTTAAACTAATAACAAAACATACTTACAGTCGCTGATACAGAAGCGCCAGATTGTCATAGCAAAGTCGGAATTGACCCTTTTTTATTTTTTAGAAATAGCCTTTGTGCATAGCCAGCCTTGTACTCTTCTTGGTTCAAAAAACTGTCGTCCATAAAATGCGTTGCACAAATTCGAACATTCGAACAATGATTCCTAATTGCATCTACTATCGGAAGGCCAAATTAAGTGCTTTTGCTTTCGCACTGAAACACAGCATCTCCCTGACATGGCTGCATCAACACTACTGCTGTTCCTGAAACCACGCCTTCTTTCTTTGCGTGCACATTTGGGCGGCGTTATGCAAATCTTCCCACATAGTGACGTAGATATGTGGGGGGCGTGTTAGAACAAGCCGTTTTAGGTAGGCGTGGCTGACTCTTAACTTTTATAAAGAATATCTCTTTGGATTTGAGACTTTAGTCTTTGCAACTTTACAGATCTTCTTTATGCACCAATAGCTTGTAACACTCCAAAGAGAAAGGAAAACTTGAAATCGCATCATATGACCCCTTTACGTTAATATTACGTAACACATTTACATGTTCACGTTTCTCTGATGTTAATTAGGCCCTAATGGTCACATGACGTGCAGGTAAACAAATATATTTCATCTTTTTTTAGTAAGTGTTTTATTTTGATTCTTGTTATTTTATATGGATTTATTTTAGTTTTATATTTTTATGATTTAATTATTAGCTTTTCATTAAACTTGCAAACCCCCTCAGTTCCTTCATGAAATCCCAGTTTGAGATGCACTTGTTTAATGTTTAATGCACTGTTTATAACAATGAATGGAATACATTTTCTTTGTTTTTATTTCACTATGGTACAAGATTATCCTATTTAAATCAATGTGATCAACGAGTTAGGTCAAAAGTAATCAAAAAGTAGTCTGATTATATTACCTTAAATGTGTAAGGAAATGGATTACGCTACTGATTACAATTTTTGTCATGCAATTTGGAATCAGTAAAGGGCTACAATTTGTAAGTAATCTACCCAGCGCTGATTGTACATCAACTAACATAATTAATTCCATGACATTTATTTATTCTTTAACAACGGCTATTTCTTTTTCGTCTCGTTTATAATTAGTGTTATTAATTTCCTCAATGGCTGAAATCAGCAGATGAGGGGGATTCAAGCCTTTCAGGTTGCTACGCAACAGCCGTATCTGTCACGCATGTGCGCGGTGCATAGTGGGAGTATCCGAGCGATGCTGAATCAGTGCAGGAGCGGAGGAGCAGGGGAGGCTGGAAATGGTGCAGCATCAACAAGGGGAAAAGGCGCAGCGGTCGCGCCAACGGAACTATGCGGCTCTCCTTAAACTCTCACTTTGAGATTTTACTCCGTCGACAGAAGAACAGGTTAGTAAACTGGTTTTTGTTCGCTAAGTGATTTTTTTAAACAAAGCGCTGCCGTGCCAATCCGCTTGTCCCGTGTATGTTGGCACCTTGTCAATATTGATGCTGCGCTGGCGCGAGCCGCAGGCTTCCATAAATGATGCGCGTGCAGGTGCCCAACCAGGCACGCGAAAGCAAAATCTGTCTCGGTCATGACAAACTATTAAGGCACTTGGGCCTGAGTCAAAAATAGAAACTTACCTATTTGTATATATATTATTCATGGTTAAGGAAAATCATGAATAATTTACATTACATGCCACATAATGCAGCTGAACGTCAACAGCTCACGTGGCCTATCAGGGGGAGTTGTAGTTTTTCAGACGTGACAATATCCAATGCCGTTTATGTCCATTGTCTCATTGATGAACGACATATCCCAAAGTGCTTTTCGCTCCATGCTCGAGCAGGGGAATGTTCTGCTGATTGTTAGGCATTGCCCCAATGGACGGTGATCAAACGATGGTTTGGGGGCGGGGCTTAGTCTTCAGGGCTGCTCATTGGAGCAGAGCGTGTTTGGGTGGGGTCCTTTTGGCACTGCGGAGAAAGGATGTGAGGAGACTGAGCTCATGCAGTCCTGAGCTCCTGACATTTAGTTAAGTCAGAATAATGAAGCTGCTCTCAGCAAATGCTTTATGCAATCAGAATCTCACTATCATTTTGTTAAAGTGTGCTATTTTAAGATGCAAACAAGTGAAAAGCCTGCTGCACGATGCAACTGAGGTTTATTTTTTGGTCCATGCGCTTGATCTAATAAAGTTTTTATTAATAGACAGTGCATGCAATACTGTAAAAACACGTTTTCTAAAAATAAAATTTATGTTTTATACTTTATAATTTACATTGGAAATGTATATTCACCTGAAAATTAGCTCTGATGGTTTATGGCATATTTATGTAAGCTGAGATGCCTTCCTTAGGCTGTCCCGGTTTTTAGGGTGTAGAATGAGAGGAGGAATTCCCTGCAATCTCCTGAAATATCTTATGTGTCTCTGCATCAACTCGATGAAGGTGACAGAAGTGTTAAGGCGAGAGTCTTATAATGTGTTTAATCAGTTTTATTAATTAGATCCATTTATAACACATTGCATTCCTTAGAGAGCAGATTCATTTTAGAAAATGAGAGTGATTGCGCTTTTATAACGGTAAGCAGAAAGAAATGTTTGAAGTCTTTTAAGGATCTAAGTTAAGCACACACAGAGCCTGCAAATATAGACACACTCATGCGAAAAATTACCTCTTATGTAGGGCTGCACGATTATGACAACAATCCCTTGAAAATGTAATTGCGATTATTAATTACGATTATCACAATTTACATTGAATGATGTTATATCATTGTTTGAAGCAACCGCATGCCATATTTTTAGATGAAAATAAACAAGCAGAAAACCCTCAAACTGAAAAACCTTTATTGCTTTTCTATAGTATTAAGCCTCAAATGGCATCTATTCATTGTATTGGTTTCTTCTTTAAATAAAAAAAGTATTTATAGTATTATACATTATAGTATTATAATGTATTTAATGTATTTAAAACTAAAATTAAAACAATGGAAAAACCCTTAAGATAACACATCTTAAGCACACAGAATAACATAAGTGGACTTTGAACGATTAATTGGCGCTTTGAACGATTACATAATTGTGACATCCGTAATTGTAATTGCGATTAGAAATTCGATTAATTGTGCAGCCCTAGTTTCCATTTTATTGAGGTTAATAAGTGACTGTAAGATTATGTGAGCATGCTTAAGGGTGTAGTCCAGTTCTGATAGACAAGGACTCTGTGTCTGACCGGCTCTTGTGGATACCTGATACTCTGCAGACATTACAGGAATCTCAAAGAAGCAATAGGAATAGAATCGGAATCTTTTCAGAATTCTATGTTTTTGTAAACAGTCTTTTCAGCAATGGTTTAAGACTGTTGAAATGCATGAAATTTATGTCATTTTGGCCACCTTTTTGCAGTGGATGCCTTTGTAATGTATGACCAGAAAATGGGATCATTGATTATGGAAAACAGCTTAGCCCCGGATAAAGACCTCCAGAGAAACATATGTCTATTCCTTCTGGTATTGTATTCTTCAATCTGATGGACACAATGCTGCTTTTGTTGTCAGTTTGTCACTTGTCTTGTCTTATGTTGGGTTTGTGGATACTTATTTGAAGAGCTTAAATACTTCCTTTTTTTTCATTCAAGTTGGTTTTCTGAATGTTCATTATTATTTTAGGGGGGTGCCTGTTTTTGAGCTCTTAGAATATGTACATTTTCCAGCAAAACATTTTTAAGAAATAATTGTTTACGTTAAAAATCTTAAAAATGTAAAACTGTATTTAAACCTGAAAATACTCAGAAAGTAAAAAAAACCCATATACAAATATTTAAATAATAATTACATATGCCTATTTTTAAGAATATAAACAATATTTAAGATTCTTCATGATTTCAGTGTAACACAACAGGGAGAACATAAATACAGCATTCTCAAATCCATGCTATTTTTCGATTATATTTTTTGTTCAAATGTTCACTCAAATTAAAATTAATAAAGAAAATAATTGTATTTTGACCTCACTTCAGTATCTTAACATACAAGTTTAGCAGCTGTGTCACACACTGTGTTGCAGGTAAATGGCAGGGTTTGGTAAAGTGCTGGCCAGCCGATGCAGTGCGTAGGGCCAGGTGTCCACGGCGACGAAAACATGAACGGGGCGGGGGAGCAGGTTGACATCCTGCCCTCCAACTGCTTGGTAAAAGAGCGCTGGAAAGTGGTAAGTGCGTGTCTATATTTAGGTAAGAGTGTGTTAGTGGAATAAAGATGCCCAAATTGTCTGTTGCCTTTGCTCTCTCATCACACAGGACAAAATGGCCCACATATGACAACAGATGCTTTCAAATTAACTCAGTCTAGCTTCTCTCCAAAATGTGGCCAAAACGTTTGGTTCACAGCATTTCTCCTTCAAGCAGATGTCCTTAGAAATGATTTGTGACTGTTTTACTGTAATGATATCTTTGATGGGGATTGTGGCTATCCTTAAAACAGAGTCTGACTCATTAGTGACTGACTTAAACTTAATACTTTCATAACTCATGTGATAAAGCATGTTTAAGCCAAGACTAATCAATATGCTTAGTTCATGCCACTAGAACTGAACTGCATGGAATTTAATTAAATCTTTCATGTTAAAAAATACGCTCTGTTATTAGAGCAGCTAAAGTAACTCAGCCAATCTAATTTTGTCATACAATTTATTGCCTGACAAACAAATTCAGAAAAGCTTTTCTGTGAATTTAGCTGATATATTTGTCCTTTTTAGCTTTGGGACTTTCTCGGATATTAGATGATGTTTATTTATGATGTACAGTACGTTCTTAAAGGTTTATGCTGATTCCTTATTAAGATTCATTATTAAGAAATGTTCACTGAAAGGTTCTTTGAGGATCCCAAAATGGTTCTTCTATGTCATTGCTGCGAAAACACCCTTTTGGAACCTTTGGAACAATTTTTAGCATGTATATATTGCGTGTTGCTATTGTTTGTGAGTTCAGCTGAAGAAGATTGGGGGTGGAGGATTCGGGGAGATCTATGAGGCCTGTGACCTGTTGACACGGGAGAATGTGGCTCTTAAGGTGGAATCCGCCCAACAGCCAAAACAAGTGCTAAAGATGGAGGTTGCTGTGCTAAAAAAACTACAAGGTGAGGAGATGGAGAGGATGTGAATATATTTTGTGTCGTTTATCATTCTTACAATTCGATTTAAACATTATGTGGTAATATTGTTGCTTCTAAAGTTACTGGCCAGTTTTCGAGATTGTTCTATGTACTTGCCAAAGCTAATTTTTACTCTCATGTCACTTGACAATATCATTTTGGATTATGTTTATATATATATGCTGTTACACTACCATTCAAATGTTTGGGTCAGTAAGATTTTGTAAGACATTTTTTATTCAACAAGGATGCATTAAATTGATCTGAAGTGACAATGGTTTAAGACTGTTGAAATGCATGAAATTTATGTCATTTTGGCCACATTTTTGCAGTGGATGCCTTTGTAATGTATGACCAGAAAATGGGATCATTGATTATGGAAAACAGCTTAGCCCCGGATAAAGACCTCCAGAGAAACATATGTCTATTCCTTCTGGTATTGTATTCTTCAATCTGATGGACACAATGCTGTTTTTGTTGTCAGTTTGTCACTTGTCTTGTCTTATGTTGGGTTTGTGGATACTTATTTGAAGAGCTTAAATACTTCCTTTTTTTCATTCAAGTTGGTTTTCTGAATGTTCATTATTATTTTAGGGGGGTGCCTGTTTTTGAGCTCTTAGAATATGTACATTTTCCAGCAAAACATTTTTAAGAAATAATTGTTTACGTTAAAAATCTTAAAAATGTAAAACTGTATTTAAACCTGAAAATACTCAGAAAGTAAAAAAAACCCATATACAAATATTTAAATAATAATTACATATGCCTATTTTTAAGAATATAAACAATATTTAAGATTCTTCATGATTTCAGTGTAACACAACAGGGAGAACATAAATACAGCATTCTCAAATCCATGCTATTTTTCGATTATATTTTTTGTTCAAATGTTCACTCAAATTAAAATTAATAAAGAAAATAATTGTATTTTGACCTCACTTCAGTATCTTAACATACAAGTTTAGCAGCTGTGTCACACACTGTGTTGCAGGTAAATGGCAGGGTTTGGTAAAGTGCTGGCCAGCCGATGCAGTGCGTAGGGCCAGGTGTCCACGGCGACGAAAACATGAACGGGGCGGGGGAGCAGGTTGACATCCTGCCCTCCAACTGCTTGGTAAAAGAGCGCTGGAAAGTGGTAAGTGCGTGTCTATATTTAGGTAAGAGTGTGTTAGTGGAATAAAGATGCCCAAATTGTCTGTTGCCTTTGCTCTCTCATCACACAGGACAAAATGGCCCACATATGACAACAGATGCTTTCAAATTAACTCAGTCTAGCTTCTCTCCAAAATGTGGCCAAAACGTTTGGTTCACAGCATTTCTCCTTCAAGCAGATGTCCTTAGAAATGATTTGTGACTGTTTTACTGTAATGATATCTTTGATGGGGATTGTGGCTATCCTTAAAACAGAGTCTGACTCATTAGTGACTGACTTAAACTTAATACTTTCATAACTCATGTGATAAAGCATGTTTAAGCCAAGACTAATCAATATGCTTAGTTCATGCCACTAGAACTGAACTGCATGGAATTTAATTAAATCTTTCATGTTAAAAAATACGCTCTGTTATTAGAGCAGCTAAAGTAACTCAGCCAATCTAATTTTGTCATACAATTTATTGCCTGACAAACAAATTCAGAAAAGCTTTTCTGTGAATTTAGCTGATATATTTGTCCTTTTTAGCTTTGGGACTTTCTCGGATATTAGATGATGTTTATTTATGATGTACAGTACGTTCTTAAAGGTTTATGCTGATTCCTTATTAAGATTCATTATTAAGAAATGTTCACTGAAAGGTTCTTTGAGGATCCCAAAATGGTTCTTCTATGTCATTGCTGCGAAAACACCCTTTTGGAACCTTTGGAACAATTTTTAGCATGTATATATTGCGTGTTGCTATTGTTTGTGAGTTCAGCTGAAGAAGATTGGGGGTGGAGGATTCGGGGAGATCTATGAGGCCTGTGACCTGTTGACACGGGAGAATGTGGCTCTTAAGGTGGAATCCGCCCAACAGCCAAAACAAGTGCTAAAGATGGAGGTTGCTGTGCTAAAAAAACTACAAGGTGAGGAGATGGAGAGGATGTGAATATATTTTGTGTCGTTTATCATTCTTACAATTCGATTTAAACATTATGTGGTAATATTGTTGCTTCTAAAGTTACTGGCCAGTTTTCGAGATTGTTCTATGTACTTGCCAAAGCTAATTTTTACTCTCATGTCACTTGACAATATCATTTTGGATTATGTTTATATATATATGCTGTTACACTACCATTCAAATGTTTGGGTCAGTAAGATTTTGTAAGACATTTTTTATTCAACAAGGATGCATTAAATTGATCTGAAGTGACAATATTTATAATGTTACAAAAAAATTATATTTCAAATAAATGCTGTTCCTTTCAACTTTCTATTCATTAAAGAATCCTGAAAAAAATGCAATCATGGTTTCCACAAACATATTAAGCAGCACAACTGTTTTCAACATTGATAATAATAATAAAAAAATCAGCACCAAAATCAGCATATTAGACATTTTTGAATGGTAGTGTACTGTAAATATTTGTCTTGACATAATGAGGCAGCAAGCAGGATGATGTATGTGTAAGATATGTGATAGTTTATCTGTTAATATGCCCGTCATAATCTTTTTTGTTTTGTTTTGTTTTTTGGATATGCTCATATGACACGCACACAGAGACGCACTGTGACTTTCATGCCTGTCAAGGCAGTTTGCCTCAGCTGTAGTTCAGACATACCACTGGGAGTCTGTAAGGGTAATGAGCGTGAAGAACTGAAGGAAAGTGGGATTACCACAACTCTCTTTTTTGCTGCTCTCTTGCTCTCTCATGTTTTTATAACCTTCATGAAGGACACGCTGGAATTCCAAATGTCACTGCCTCTGTCACTACCTGCTTGCTGAATGTATTTTGTATGTGTGAGTGTGTGTGTGTGTGTATCCACATGTCCATGCAGTAAGAAAAATGTCAACCGTAATATGTGTGACTTCTAAGTAATATCTGTGACATTACTGCTTTCATTTCTTGTGCAGGAAAGAATCATGTTTGCAAATTTATTGGATGTGGAAGAAATGACAAGTTCAATTACGTGGTCATGCAGCTGCAGGTACAGTATTTTTATACTTCTGTTTTTATGCGTGTTTGTGTGTGTGTAAAAAAAAACTGCAGTTGATTCTTTCTTTCTGTAGGAAAGGAATCTCGCTGATCTCAGGAGGAGTCAGCCTAGAGGGACGTTCAGTATGAGCACGACTCTACGGTTGGGGAAACAGATTCTGGAGTCTATTGAAGCCATTCACTCTGTGGGCTTCCTGCACAGAGACATTAAACCTGTATGTCTTACTGTTGATGATATGATCTCTTCTCTTTCCCAATCCAATTACCTGGCTCCTGTCAGCTGATACTGGTTTCTCTCCTATCCTTAGTCTAATTTTGCCATGGGCCGATTGCCGTCTACCTGTAGGAAGTGTTACATGCTGGACTTTGGTTTGGCACGACAGTACACTAATACGAATGGGGAGGTGCGGCCTGTAAGTATTACTTTTGCTTTATTTTCTGATACAGTCTTCTTCCTTCATATATTCTCTCAATTACTATTTCTGTTTGATTTTTTTTCTTTTAATGGAAATAACTCCCCCAAAAAAGCCCAATAAGCAGCATTTTCCACATTTCTGTTTCGTGCATATGCAGTTTTTATATTTACTTGTGATGTTTTATATTTCAAGAGTTATTTCTAGGTATGCACTGAATTAAAATTCTTATAAATACTTAAAAGTTAGTAAGTATATATATATATATATGTATATATATATATATATATATATGTGTGTGTGTGTGTGTGTGTGAGTGTGTGTGTGTATGTGTGTTTTATATGCTAAGTAAATTTAGAGATCACATTATAATATAAAATATGAAAATGGATTTCATTTTGAGATTTGCTAAAGATCACATTTAACATAGTTATTCAATTTGTTTTTTTAAAGACTTTAAGTGAGTATTATGTACAGAAGTGAAAAAGGTAATCTAAATGGGAACAAGCATGGGAAATGAAACCAATTAATAACGGCCAACAACCGATATGGTATTGAAGTATCATGCATACCTATTTATTAATTTTTTTTATTTGCCTTTTACTAATTAATTTCTATCATTTGTGTGTTTGACTTCATTTTTATGTTTCACTTTTCTCGGTTTTGTTTTGCAGTTCTGTTATGGCACTCATGTTGAATCGCATGCTCCCAAAGATGTTTGTCCCTATACCATAGTGACAGTCATATTGTGAGTTTTCCAAAATCTTGAAAAGATTCCTTCCTTACCCTCTGAAGGCTCTTAGAAGTTACCTAGCCTTCTCTAATGGTTGTGCCCTAAATGCTCAATTCTGAAACACGCCCCCTTTGGACATATCCACACCCCTGCTGTACTGTCTCATACCCACATCCTACATCCTCCTCTATTTAAGAGACTTCCTGTATGTGTGTTCAATTAATTGTGCTCAATCAGTCTAGGAATCCCAAAGAATTCCTGTCGCTCCACCCTTCCTTACATTTCCTTCCCATGTTTGCTTTGTTTCGATTATGCATTTACTTAATCCAATCCACCAAAGTGTTAAAGTATAAAATGAAAGTGATATGAGTTCTTATTATGAGACTCTTAAATGCTCTGCTTTAGCCCAGGACAGTGGCTGGGTTCAGAGGGACAGTACGCTACGCTTCCATTAACGCTCATAAAAACAAGGTAAGTGTAGTCTCAGCTTCAATTCACTGACTGTCTAAAGCATATTACGCACGAAAATTGGTGAGTGCTGACTATATTTGCCTGTTTGAATCTGATTTATTGGCTTTAATGAATCTTAAGTGGGTGATTCTTGGCCAGAGTTACCACATTAAGAACATTTGTTTTTTTTAAAGAAGAGTGCAGTTTTTAAAAATTTGTATTGTTCTTAACAGGAAATGGGTCGTCATGATGATTTGTGGTCATTGTTTTATATGCTGGTAGAGTTTACTGTTGGACAATTACCATGGCGTAAGATAAAAGATAAGGTAAGACACTTGTATCACACTCACATTAACCAGTGATTATGAACATAATGGAACTGTATTGAGTGAATTAATCCTCGTTGTACTCAGTCTTAAGAGCTTTTGATTTAAATATTTAAGACCTTCAGGGTTGTTTTTGCTGTTAATCGTGTCTGTAATGTGCATCTGATGAACAGGAGCAGGTAGGACAGATTAAAGAGCGCTATGAGCACAGGATGCTGTTGAAACACATGCCTGCTGAGTTTCATATCTTCTATGACCATGTGCTGGATTTAGATTACCACACCAAACCTGATTATCAGGTAAACTATTCAGACACACCTCCAAACACTCACTTCTTCCCACTTTTGTTTTTCAACAAGAATGATTTAACTTGATCAAAAGTGACACTAAAGACATTTATAATATTGCCAATAATTATTCTTTTTTTACTTCAAATAAATGCATTTCTTTTAAACTTTCATTCATCATAGAATCCTGAAAAGTGTCATGGTTTAATCAAAATTATTCCATGGTCTGTTGGAATTCTTGATTCTGATCGGCTGGCAGGTATGCATTAAAACCGTTTAATGCACAGGTAGTTCCAAGTCAGTTTAATCACCGTTCTTTATTAATGCGCTGCTTTAATTGACACACACAAATGCACACACACACACCACTCGCACAGAGAGAGAGAGAGAGATCAGAGATCCCGCTGCGCACACAGAAACATTCAGGAGTAGGCAAATATAAACTTGTCAACGCTGACTTTTATTAATAAAATGGCTTAGATACTGGATCACTGCATTATATTCCTCAGCAACAAGGAGGTACAATTTCTGTTTAAGTAACTAAACTCATAACTTCATTGTTTGTAGAGAGAGATGCACAGACGCAGGTAATTCACACACACAACTGTCATCTTTCTCTCTCTCTCGATCAAACTTCGATAATTAATTTAAATAAATGCTATATTTCATTCAAATAAATGTGATCTAACCATGCTATTTAATCTCTGTGTCTGATTTGAAGCGGAATGCTAGAGCTAACCAGCCGTAACTGACAAAAATAACCATAATTTTTACCCATTTGGTCAAATATTGCGCTGCAAAGAGCAATACTAGTTTTAACTTGTCTATAACTTGGCAAATGACCATGGAATAAAGCAGGATAATTAACAGCTTGCCGTGCATTAAAGTATTTTAAATGCACTTCGCGTCAGGTGGTTCTTGGCCTCCATGTCGTGCATTTAAAATCCTTTAATGCACGGCAAGCCATTGATTATCCCTGACATATTAAGCTACAACTGTTTTCAACATTGATAATAAGAAATGTTTATTTGTGAAGACTGGAGTAATGGCTGGTGAAAATTCAGCTTTGCTATAGCAGGAATAAATTACATTCTACAATATATACATTTTTTCTTAATTCTTTTAAATTGCATTAATTCACAATATTACTGTTTTTACTGTTTTTTTTAATCAAATAAATGCAACCTTGTGCATAAAAGTAATGTGCATCTGATGAACAGGAGCAGGTAGGACAGATTAAAGAGCGCTATGAGCACAGGATGCTGTTGAAACACATGCCTGCTGAGTTTCATATCTTCTATGACCATGTGCTGGATTTAGATTACCACACCAAACCTGATTATCAGGTAAACTATTCAGACACACCTCCAAACACTCACTTCTTCCCACTTTTGTTTTTCAACAAGAATGATTTAACTTGATCAAAAGTGACACTAAAGACATTTATAATATTGCCAATAATTATTCTTTTTTTACTTCAAATAAATGCATTTCTTTTAAACTTTCATTCATCATAGAATCCTGAAAAGTGTCATGGTTTAATCAAAATTATTCCATGGTCTGTTGGAATTCTTGATTCTGATCGGCTGGCAGGTATGCATTAAAACCGTTTAATGCACAGGTAGTTCCAAGTCAGTTTAATCACCGTTCTTTATTAATGCGCTGCTTTAATTGACACACACAAATGCACACACACACACCACTCGCACAGAGAGAGAGAGAGAGATCAGAGATCCCGCTGCGCACACAGAAACATTCAGGAGTAGGCAAATATAAACTTGTCAACGCTGACTTTTATTAATAAAATGGCTTAGATACTGGATCACTGCATTATATTCCTCAGCAACAAGGAGGTACAATTTCTGTTTAAGTAACTAAACTCATAACTTCATTGTTTGTAGAGAGAGATGCACAGACGCAGGTAATTCACACACACAACTGTCATCTTTCTCTCTCTCTCGATCAAACTTCGATAATTAATTTAAATAAATGCTATATTTCATTCAAATAAATGTGATCTAACCATGCTATTTAATCTCTGTGTCTGATTTGAAGCGGAATGCTAGAGCTAACCAGCCGTAACTGACAAAAATAACCATAATTTTTACCCATTTGGTCAAATATTGCGCTGCAAAGAGCAATACTAGTTTTAACTTGTCTATAACTTGGCAAATGACCATGGAATAAAGCAGGATAATTAACAGCTTGCCGTGCATTAAAGTATTTTAAATGCACTTCGCGTCAGGTGGTTCTTGGCCTCCATGTCGTGCATTTAAAATCCTTTAATGCACGGCAAGCCATTGATTATCCCTGACATATTAAGCTACAACTGTTTTCAACATTGATAATAAGAAATGTTTATTTGTGAAGACTGGAGTAATGGCTGGTGAAAATTCAGCTTTGCTATAGCAGGAATAAATTACATTCTACAATATATACATTTTTTCTTAATTCTTTTAAATTGCATTAATTCACAATATTACTGTTTTTACTGTTTTTTTTAATCAAATAAATGCAACCTTGTGCATAAAAAACTGTCAAAAACATGAAAATAATATTAAAAATGAGCTGAACAGCAATGTATATATTTAAAAAATATATACTTAAAATATACTGTAATATATAAATATACATAACATGCATATAAACATTTAATACAAATGTATTTGTGCAACAATTTTGAGTGGAAAATTAATTTTCTTTCTTTCTTTTTCCTTCCTCTGGTCTAGTTGCTAATGACAGTATTTGAGAACAGCATGAAAGAGAGGGTTATTACAGAAAATGAGCCTTATGACTGGGAAAAATCTGGAACAGATACGGCCCTCCCCACCAGCACACACACGCCACCACAACAAAACACACGGCAAACTGCTGCCATCGTGGGGTAAGAATATGTACACACACACTCTTACAACAGTATCAGACCTTTTGCACAGTGGGAAGGGATTCTGGATTCTGAAGTTACTCTGGAGTGATTTAAAAAAGACTTTGATTTTATGCTGATTTGGCTCTGAATTGTCTCTCTCAGGGTGGTGAATGTGACGCCGGTACCTGGTGAATTACCGAGGGAAAACACTGATGATGTTCTGCAAGATGAACACCTGAGTGACCAAGAGAATGCTCCACCTGCTTTGATACCCAGCAGGCCAAGAGAACCTCCTCCAGCCCCACCTGCTGGTGAAGGATGGGATGAAACTGACTTCAACCGTAACAAACTCAGGATCAGCATCAGTAAGGTAGTATTTTTAATGTATTATGCCAAATTATTCCCATTAATTTGAATCTAATTAGTATGAAACATGATTTTAGATCAGTTGAGTGTTTAATACTGCTTTTCTTCTCAGACACAAGTAGCAGCAGAGGATGGGGAGGAGCCTGCAGGAGGAGGGAGGTCCGTTTCCCCAGCAAAGGGTGGAGAAGCAGAAGCTCAGGCCCGCCCTCCAAGGTACCGGAGAGTCAATAGCCCAGAATCTGACCGCCTGTCTGCTGCAGAGGATAGAGGCGATGCCGCAGATAAACGGTGAGGAGAGTGTGTGCTTGAAAATGTATCACTCTGTTCTTCTGGCTGACATTTAGCTTTTCTAAAGGTCATTTGTCTGCATGTGTCTTGTTAGTGAGGAAAGCATGCAAAAGTGACTTACTGATAAGAAAAGATGTAAAGTTTTTGTTTTGTACAACAATATTTTGCTCTGACATTTTGGATGGCATCTGTGAATTTAATAAAGGTGAAGTGCATACTGTTCTTATTATGATAGCATATGGCATTTTTTTATGATGAAAATGGATTGGCATGCTAAAGAAACATTTTATATTAGGAACAGATTAAAATTAAAGACGAAAACAGTTTTTATTGGATATAATGTTGCATGATCTTGAGATAACCATTTTGTTGTTGTTGAAATTTCTGATGATCTAATTTTTAATTAATTAAATAATTATTAAATTATCTCTTAGACTATTAGGACTACATGATTATTAGTAATTATAAATTAATAAAGTAATTCTAATAAAGCTATGAAGTAATTATAAGTATTATAAATATAATATTTAATATAATAAACAATGACCATATTTATTAGTTTCTAAACTAATTATTACATTTAATAAATACATTTGTCACATGATTCTTCAGAAATAATTCTAATATGCAGATTTGGTACTCAAGAAACATTTTCTTCTTATTGTCAGTGTTGAAAACAGCTGTGCTGTTTAATATTTTTGTGAATTTTTTAAAGATTCTTTGATGAAGAGAAAGTTCAAAAGAACAGCATTTATTTGAAATAGATTTTTTTTGCTACATTATAGATGTTTTTACTGTCACTTTTGATTTAATGCTATTTAAAATTTAATTCATCCTTGCTGAATAAAAGTATCCATTTTTTACTAAACCCCATACTTTTGAACTGTAATGTTGCTGTCAATTAAAGTCTAAGTCTAGTTAAATAGTTGTTGTTATCCAGTTGATTCTGTGTCTTAGCCTTTGTGTGTTTTGTGGCAGCTCTCGTTTGGACATGCTGGGTTCTCCATCCAGGCACGTCTACTCTTCCCAGCCTGCTCAAATGCTCTCTTTAGAAGCTGGACAGGGAGAACGATTGGCCGGTGGCCACCATGATGTCTCTGCAGACGGTGACCAGGAAGCCCACAGCAATGCCTTCATCCGCTCAGTCCCGCTGGCAGAGGAGGAGGACTTTGACAGCAGGGAGTGGGTGATGATTGACAAAGAAACAGAGTTGAAAGACTTCCATCCTGGGGCAGAGCCCACCACCTCAGGCACCACGGATGAGGAACCAGAGGAATTACGCCCCCTTGAGGACCACGAGGAGAGGAGAAGGAAGGGACATATGCATGGAATGGGCGGAGCTGAGGCTGTGGTACGACCCAAAACGCAACGTGGGATGATGATTGTAGCAGAGGAGGAGGGGGCGGGACCGAGCCCCGCCCATTCACCTTGTCACTCGTTGCCTCATACCTGCCCAAGAAGGAGGGAGTCGGAGCCATTTGGACCTGAAGGACCGGTAAGGCACACCTGAGTGTGTATGTGTGGGCATGTGTGTGTATGGGTTATCCTGATTTCTTAATATGTTTGATGATCTTTAGATGATCTTTAGATCTTTAGATGACCACACCAGTGGTCTGTGAGTGCATTGTTATCATCAAAGTCAGTGTGAATTTTAATAGGCAAACTAGATAAAAGGAAGAGCAAATTATAATTTATTACTGATTATTTAGGTCTTTTTAGAATAAAAAGCTTAAATAATGTTATAACTAACAAACACAGATGAATAGTTTACAATAAAACCAGAAGCATCAATTAAAGGTGCCATAGAATGGAAAACTGTATTTACCTTGGCATAGTTGAATAATAACAGTTCTGTACATGGAAATGACATACCGTGAGCCTCAAACACCATTGTTTCCTCCTTCTTATGTAAATCTCCTGCATGCAAAAGACCACTGAAAAATAGGCGAATCAGAACATAGCACCGACTGTGACGTTACAGTCGGGAATCGGGATCACTAATAGTTACGCCCCCAACATTTGCATACACCCGCCCATGTTCTATGTCAGCCGCCAGCCGAATCATCAGAAGTTCTGCAGGTATTGTGAAGAAACAAGCGAGGATAATAGCGAAAATGGCAGATCATGGAAATAAATGTTATGTTCCAGGCTGTGCAGGGGATGTGATGTGCAGGGATGGGTTGGTGTCTGTATTCAGAAAGGCACGGAAAACAAATAACGCGCATTCTAATAAAATAACGCGAGCCACTAAAGGGACATGGTTAGCTGCTTGCTAGCGCCTGTTACAGGACATAAGATTTCACTTACCACATAAACAGAGTAAGGAGAGATGACTGAGGATGCTGGCGAATGATTTACAGATCCTGAGCTCTACTGACAAGCATCTGATCTTGTAAAATGTGTGTTAAGTACTGCCGCTGAAGTTTACACAGAGCAAGTGCAAATCTCGAAAGTGAAAGTAAAAAGCGATCGCGCATTCGAATATATTAATAGCGGCTCCCTGATACCTGCATTTTATATACAGTATAGTTACCCAACGATATAACTGTGAGAGAGAGTATTGAAATTGAGTATTGAGAGTATATTTTCCCTGTGTTTCCTTCCTGCTGTGTGAGCTACTGAAATGAGCCGCACTGTGAAACAGCCAATCAGAGCAGAGCTCAACATTATTATTCATGACCCTTCCAAATAAGGTAAAAACAGGCCATTTCATTCTAGGGACAAATCCTAGGGTTGTAAATGGACATGTAAAACTGTTTATGGAGATTGTTTGCCCTTACCTAAGCCACATACCTTCTATGTAGATATCAGAGAACAATTTAAAATATTGTATCAATGCATTCTATGGCACCTTTAAGAAAGTAAATATGGTCAATTCTGATTTCATGTTGGCTTTAGACTTCTTTCTTCTAAGTACGCAACACCGTGTCTAATTTACGTCTGTACACTGGCATAGATTTAATTGTTGCAAAGATGTTATATGTTGATGACTGAATTACTGTTTTTGTGTTTTTTTTTCATCTATGTGATCAAACACATAGATGACTTTTTCTATGCTACAGTTTAACATTTTGAAAAGAAAGACGCTTACTAAGGCTGTTTATTTAATCAAAAATGTGTAAAAATGGTAATATTACAATTTTAAATAACTGTTTTCTAACTGTTTGCTGTAATATATTTTAAAAGGTAATTTATTCCTGTGATGGCAAAGCTGAATTTTCAGTAGCTATTACTCCAGTCTTCAGTGTCACATGAGCCTTCAGAAATCAGTCTAATATGCTGATTTGCTGCTCAAGAAGTAATAAAATGCTGCATTTTTAAAAAATCATACTGACCTCAAACTTTTGAATGGTAGTGTACATTTTTAACATTTCAAGTTGTATTAGTGAATAAATGGAGTAAGAGTATTGTTGTTCATAAATCTAATGCATTGACTAATTTTAACAAATTGAACCTTAAGATTAATTTTATGACTACTAGAATTTGTTCCAAGCTGCTATTATATTTTTTACATAAAGACATCAGTACAAGAAAGGCTCATTTAAAGTCCGCGTGAACCGGAAGTTGCTGCCGACTTTATTTCAGTGTAGTGACGTATTTCCAGCTGAAACGGAATATTGAATAGAGGGCATGGTTTTATGTTTGCGCTCCTCCTCTCTGTCTCTCACTCATAGCAATCTAACGGTTAGAAGGGTGTGTTTAAGGATATTCTGCCCAAGCCGTCAAACTGACGTCATCAGAAAAGGAATGCCATTCCAGAGCGGAAGTAAATGTTCAGATTTTGATTAAAGATTAAAGATTACGAAGACAAACAATTTTTTTCAGCGGATTAACTTGCACGGATTAATTGTTTACATCAAGACTAGCAATGTGCGCTAGTAAAGTAAATAAAGTCAATTTTGATTTCATGTGGACTTTAATTAAGCATCTGATAACTTGTAATGCAAGATAATTAACATATGTTGTTTGTATATGAGTGTTTGTTTGTATACACCCTTGATGTACAGTATGTGTGTTATGTAAACTTGTGCATTTGTGTTGAGCTGCATGTTTAGGGTTTTGTGGTTTTGTGTGTGTGTGTGTTTGTGCACATCACACTCAATTCACAGCCAAGCTTAGTTTGCTCATTGGTCATACAGGGGTCTGTGTGCACACGTTGGCTCCTTCACAACATATAGAACATACATTCATTCGTACATAAGCAAAAACAAGCCTGTCTTTAGTGTCAGACAGATGTGGGCTGGTCTTGTCCTCTGAACTACAGCACATCAATGTGTTTGTACCACCCATTTGATATAATGTTTCGTTTATTCTTTGTTTTTTATTGGTGTGTTTTTGTGTGTGTATCACACAATCTTAGACAAAAAAACACGCTTTTTTCAATACTTCGCGTTTAAGTTTTTTCCTCAGCCTGATTCCTCTTTTCCTCCGCTCTTATTGGTCTTTTTCAGTTGGAGGAGGACAGGCCACACCCACATCACTCATTCCCGAGGCCCGCCCATTTGAGAAGACTGGCGTCGTACGTGTTTTCCTCTGCTACCATGGACACGGAGCCCTTCCCCCACGACCTCGGGGGAGCGGCCATTCAGCGCAGCCGCTCGGCTGAAAGCAGCCCCGCCCACCGCCACGCCCATCGCAGACACATGCCCCTGTTGCCAGGCAACCCCAGAGCTCGGCATTCTGTTCTAAACCTCCCACGCCTACACATTCAGCAAATGCTAGCCAAACTTATGAACAAGACATGATTCTCCCACCATCAGGGTACACAGACGCATATGTGTGATGCCGTTTAATAGAAGAGGAGCACGAGTGCACACTTTTGTGCCCATAGATGAACAAAGTTTAGTATGGGCAATAAACTTGGGTCTGTGATTGTGAGATGTGTGTGTGTGTGTGTGTGTGTGTAAGCGAGATATGAGATGCCCTCCAGCTAAAGTGAACATTTTTATTCGATATTTGATATTAAAGGGATACTTAACCTTAAAAAATCTGTCATCATTTATTCACCCTCATGTCATTTTATTCCTTATGACTTTTGTGGAACAGTAAAGAAGGTATTTTGAAAAATGTCCTTTTTTTGTCTAAAAATCTGTGTTGTTCTGGACCACACTGACTTCAAAATATCTTTTTTTATGTTCCACAGAAGAAAGAAATTCATACAGGTTTGGAACGACATGATGACAATTGTCATTTTTGGGTGAATTTTCCCTTTAAGCACTTGGGATGATTGGAGAAAGATAAATTATATTGTATTCTTCAAAACAAAGAAATTCTGTACAATGCTGTATGATGTATTTACTCATAGAGACACTGTACATTACATTTTATTTATTTATTTTCATATTATTATTATTATTTTTTTTTGTAAAAAAACAAACACTAAGACAAAAACACATTTTTCCTCCATCAGGGGTGTTTTATGCAGAGCTGCTGGTGTCTGGTGGGGCAGACACTTTGACTAACAAGTGACGAGAATATCGTTTTTTTTGTTTTGTTTTTTTGCTTAGGCCTCTTAGATTCCCATCAACACTGTCATCTTCTGTGTGTTGTGATGCAGGCTGGATAGTGTGATTATGTTTTCAGGGTTGAATGTCATTGAATTACAATGAATTTTGGCCTAAACCAGATACTTAAAAAGGCTGTGTTCGCCTGCTGAGTGTTAGTAGAGGACACTAGAAGGACAGTGAGTGCGTGCTAAGCTATTTTTTGTCTATTCGCATCAATACGATCTCAGCACATATAGAACCTGTCAAATACCACAACGCACACCTCCAGGCAGGATATATGGCTTTCTTAAGCAAACATGATATTGTGAACTGATGTATCTCTTTATATAGATTCTTATAGGCATCTTTTGTAGCCGAGAGAGAGCATGTCATTAACCATATACAGTGTATGAATCCTCACAGGGTTTGTACCAGTAATATAATCTAGTTGATTGGTACTAGCTTGGTTCCACTGGCATTTCATGGAGAGTATTGTTGCTGTATAGAAGAGAAAATCAGTAAGCAAAGACAGATAGAATAAGTTGTGTGTACACATGTCCAAGGTGTGAGTATTAGGCCTGTATTAAATGCTCTGCATAACTAAAAGTATGTAGACACACATATCTATTTAATGAATTTGGCTGTTTCAGCTACATCCTTTACTAACAGGTGCAGAAAATCAGCTATACAGCCATATACAGCCTCCTTAGACATTTTTTAGGTGAATGGCCTTGGTTTAAAAAAATATATGCTTAACAAATGAATGTGAGTGTGTCTTTACATACTTTTGGCCATGTAAATTAATTGTGGTATCACTTTTGTCTTCCATATAAGCTATAAAAATATATTTAAAGATAATTTTCTCTACCATAATTATTATCTTTCAGTATTACAAAAACATATGCATATTGCTTTCTGATGATATTAGGTTCCATGTGAACAGTGAGCAGTGTTTATCTGACGGCAAGAACGTCATAAACACAACATCCTAGATGTCAAGACGTTTGTCTAATAGGGAGTTGAAAATTGATTAAAGTTCTGGAATAGAGATATATTAAATAAATGATTATATATTGAAGTGCAATAGAGCTTAAGGCAATAGGTATGTAAAAGGAAGACTGAGCCTCTTTCTTTGGTTTTGTCACACATGCATTAGTGGTTTGATACACATATGCAGATATTTGAACTTGATTATAGCTTATCATTCAGCAAATGAATGTTGCCGTATTGTGTTCCTGGCCATAGACTTCACATGCTACTTCAGTGTTTAAAATCATGCATAAATAAGCTTTTGAATGCAGAAGTGCAGTGTCGTTGTCATAGAAATTATATTACACATTGTGCAATAACCAGGCATAATGCAATAATCTGACATGCGTTTTTGTGCTAATCAACAGTAGCCACAACATTTTTTAGATTACATAGTTTTTATTTCTTGTCCAAAATCATGCTTCACATAACTGTACATTAGACATCCTATGTTCTGATCTGTGTTATTTTAGTATTTATATACTATTATAGTAATTATTAGTGTTTAGAATCAGCGTTGATTTGATATTATCAGTTTTAATTTGAGTTTTTTATTTTTATTTTTATTTTAATGTTTTAATTTGGCTTTATTTTTAATTCCAGTTTTAATCATTTTAGTACTTTAAATTTAACTCTTTTTTTCATTTATTTGTCAAGGTAACATTTCTAACTTGGGTTTAAATTTAAGTTTGTCATCTAATATTTATATTGTGTTTTATTTCAGCTTCATTTCAATTTACCAAAAATGTTTTAGTTTTACTCAATTACAATACTGGCTCTGATTGGCTGATTGTGTCACATTTTCATGGACAGACAGTTTGGTTGTGCTGGGTTGAGACAGTGTTAGATACATCCTATGAAACATAAAGTAGCATTAACACATTGAAATCTTTGCTTTATCTGTATTGTAAAGTCCTCCAGCTTCAGTTCAGTTGAGATATATACATATCCGTGGGAGGAAATTAAGATTGATTGTTTGAAGGTGTATTAATTTTTCACCTGAAATTCATGCTGTAAAAATGCTATATGACTCAAGGCTGGATATCAGTGCATATGCGAATCATGCTGAAAGTGCAGAGTTTCTTCTTAAACTATAATTTGCCTCGCTGAGCCAACTGCAACAAACTCTTAGTGGTGAAAAACATATATGAATACAAAAATACAATATTTCATATTGGGTTTGAACTCATAGCAGTTGGCTCCTGGTATCTGTGCTGCTTTGGGTGTTTTAATGCAATTCACACCAGTCACTGTTTATCTGGAATAACCTACAGTATGTACTGTAACGTGTATGTTCAGAAGAGTTTGTAGTCTGAACTGTGTGAGACAGCTGATCCAAATGTCTTTCTAACAGAGAAGATATGTACATAGAGACACAAAAGCTTGGCTGTAACTGTAATTTTTTACAGTTTGGCTGTATTTTTGTTTTAATGCAGGATAATGCTAAGCAAATAGATTTCTGCCTTCCAAAGATTGTTAAATGCTGTGGTCATATCACATACACTACCATACAAAATTTTGGGGTCTGATATTTTTTCTCTTATGCTCACTATGGACTCATATTGTGAAATACGATTACAATTTAAAATAACTTTTTTCTATTTGAATAAATTGTAAAATGTTATTTATTCCTGTGATGGCAAAGCTGAATTTTTAGCAGCCATTACTCCAGTCTTCAGTGTCACACGATCCTTCAGAAATTATTCTGATATGCTGATTTGGTCTTCAAGGGTTTTCTTCTTCTTCTTCTTCTTCTTCTTCTTCTTATTATTATTATTATTTTGAAAACAGTTAAGCATGCTTAATATTTTTGTGGAAACCGTGACCTGTGATTTTTTTTTTATGAATAGAAAGTTGAAAAACAAAGTTTTAAATAGAAACCTTTTATAACATTATTAATGTCTTTAAAGACATTGTAAATGTCTTTACTGTAACTTTTGATCAATTTAATACATCCTTGCTGAATAAAAATATTGATTTCTTTAAAAAAATATATCTTACTGACCCCAACATTTTGAAAAGTAGTGTATATACACATTCTGTCACATTCAAATCTTAAAAAGACAAATATCTTTTCATTGGTATATTTACATTTTGAAAATTTCTAATGAAGAAAATAATTTCCCAGGAAATGTAGTGTTTCCAAGCTGGTGAAGATTAAAACAGTGCCAGTTTGCATAATGTGAGGTAATGTGTTCAGATAGTTTGAGGAAGGTTAGAGGAAGTTTAACAAATGTCTTCTCTGCTTTACTGAGAGATTGTAAATAATGTTGTCCATTACTTTTGAATCTATATGGTGTTCCATGTAGTACCATATTTTATGCTAAATTCAATATTCACTCAAGCCGAATAGCTTTTCAGCTTCATGCCATTCAACATTCTTTACCTCTCACATTCTCTGTCTCTAACCTGGTCAAATTTGAGCTTGTCAGACCTCCCCAGACAAACCTTGAGTGTACAACAGAGTTTAGTAACATCTGTTTGGGTAGAAATTTTTAAAAATGTATTCTTTTATGTTTTTAATAATGTATTGAGAAAAGCCTAAAACCATGAAGGTGGCTTCTCACAGATCAGTATTGTTATGAATCAATTTTAAGGAATTTTATGAGTCAAAATTTATATCATACGCTGGACTTTTTATTGCTGAAAAATGTTACTCATCAGCTGATCCCAGACCTGCTCATAAAAGCATTACATGTGTGAATCAGGGTCAACCTTCAACAGCAAGAGTATTTCACGAAATAGCTAGTGCAATAAACACCATAGGGACTGTATAGTAGACTTGTAATATGTACAAGCATGTATTTTAGGCTTTTGTAAAATTGCAAGTCTTTGGACAGATTGCTGTACTGACACATTCCTCTTTCTCATCGCTCTGTGTGTCCACTGCTGTACATACTGTTGGCTGAGCACTGTCTTTGAGTCTACACTTGAAATCACAAATGGGCTAAATCATTAAAAAAAATAGAGAGAAAATATAACACTGTAAAATTGACTTTTGTGCCTTTTCAACCATGTATGTCATTCTAAAAAGACAATCCTGCAAAGCTTGTATACAACCAAATCATTAGTAAATAATCTGAAAAATGACTAAAGAGTGGACTTTTCTCTCACAATGTGGTCTAAATTTGTTTTTTATTAATATCGTTTGAAGTGTTATTGTGCAGCCTTAAAACTTGAAAACCTAACAACAAATTTATTACAACCTCTCCAACTTTTTCATCATTACTTCACTAATTTCTTTTCTCTTTTTCTTGCATTGCTACCCGAGGCTGCAGTGGCTGAACCTTCGCCATCTTCCTCTCAGGCGCGTCTAAAGCGAGTCGACTTTGTGTCTGGTGTGTTGATGTTTGACGATCTGAGAGAGGAGGGTGCGAAGACTGGAGGCTCAGGCAGTGACGGAAGCCCTCGGAGTAGCGAGGGAAGCCCAGAGGGTGCTGTGTCCACTCTACTCGCCCCGGCCCACCGGGACCACGAACAGGAAGAGGGCTCACGCACGCTGGTGCTTGTGTCTGCCGGTAACGGGCAGGTTTCACCTGGAGACGGGCAGGGAACTCTCGCCGTGTTGACACCGCAGGGAGAGCGACCCGTGCCGGATGAATCTGAACCCGGGACTCTCTCCTCCTTCATTAAGTCAGAGCCCAGGCCTATCGTCATGACAACTGCAGCTGTGATCACCAGCGGTTCTTCCTCACCGCCGTTCACCAAGGTGGAACGCACTTTCATCCACATTGCTGAGACGACGCATCTCAATGTCATGACAGCCAGACACCGTCCACCTGGACTGGATGAGCTGATATCTACTGAGCGTGAGGAGATGAGTGGAAAGAAAGAGGAGAGGGAAAGGGTCAGTGATCGAGAGCAAAAGGAAAGTGAGGGGATTACATTAAAAAGAGAAGAGGATGAGGGGGAAAAGGAAGAGAGTGAAGCTGAAGAAAAAGTAAATAAGAGTGACAGAGGGAAGGCAGAGGCTTTGTTTTTAGTTGAGTTACATGACCAGCCGGAGACTACAGTTATTGAGGAAGAAGTTGTCTCCAAAGATGCCAAAATGGAAGCCAGACCAGATGGGTTCACACCAGAAGTAGAGCAGCAAATGGAACAGGAGCAGGAACAAAGTCCATTAGTCACACCTGAACAAAACAGAGATGCAGTGGTGGAGGATGAGAAGTATATGTCTCCACCGAGGGCGGAGTCACCTGATAGAAAGCCACTCTCGCAGAGGCGGAGCCGTATCCCTGTGCTTATGTCAGAGGAGGAAACAGGCTCGGACAAGTCTTCGCAGATGAGTCAAGAGCAGTTGCAGCGAACTCGCAAAAGCCGACAACAACAGCTGGCTCGTCTCGTCCTGGAGCGTAAACAAACCCACCTGATTCGTTCTCACTCCGCCTCCTCGCACTCCCCAACACTCTCAACCACTGCATCTGAAGATGAAACCCACCAATCAGACGACTCGGCGAAAGGAGAGAGAGGAGCAGATGGGAGAATTAGGAGCAGGATCCCTCGTCCAGTCACACCTATCAGGGGGTCATCTGACCAACTAGGGGGCACGACCCTTCCACAAACCCAGAGATCTGTGTCTTTCATTCAATACAGGTGGGTGGAGCAGAATTTCAACTTAAATGTTATTAATTTGTATCTGCACTTCCAGTCAAAAGTTTGGACACACTGAATTTATTTTTTAGGAAGCCAGACTGTTTGAATATAATAATAATAATAATAATAATAATAATAATAAATCATTATTATTTTATATTATTAATATTCTTGTTCTTGTTATATCTGTAAGACAGAAATGCATGTTGAACTCACAGGACATGCAAAGCTAGAGTGTGCAGCATTTTCTGTGAATGGCTCCGTTTTGAGAAACTGAAAACGCCGGATCATGAGGCCCTCATATGGAAATTAACACAGTGCTGCAGTTCACTCTGAAACATGCTCAATTACTTATTTATGCTCTAATACGTATTTAATTAAACCATATACATTTTTTTTTGTTCAACTGACATATATGTTTTGTGAACATTTTGGTGTTTATTTTAAAATTTTCTGGCTGTAAAATTTTGGTCTACCTCATATTTTGCTTGGCACCATTACTAAAATATATAAAGAAAATCATACAGACTGTCCTGTAATACCTCTGATTGATATGACTCATTCTTTCCTCTCGCCAACAGAACCAAGAGTTCTGTCAATCCAAGGATTCAAAAGTCTACAAGTCTGCACACAAATATCCATCAGCAGCCACCTAAACCTCAGCTCCGTCCCTCTAAAACACTTCCACCCCGTCCTCCATCTTCAGGCCCATCCCACTCACAGGGAAGTCGGACCACCACATGTACCATTGCTCGTACCTCAGCTCTTAATTCCACCCGGAGCATCAGCACCTCTCCTCGGAGCAACGCCACCTCTCGCACTGACAGCCCTTCGCCTCAACGCATTCGCCGACAGCCTGCAGCCAATGAAATGCAACGAAAGCCCAAACCTCCTTGCCCGTCGCAGTCCAAATCCAAACCTCAGGATTCCACCCCCAAAAAGATCAAAACTCTCCCATCAGCCTCATCGCAAACGGCAAAGAAAGATTCAATGGAATCAAAGACTAAAACAAGATAATTAAGACTTCATTCCTGCAGGTGATCTTCATCCTCAGCATCATCATCATCATCACAATCACTCTCTGAATCATCAGTGTTGGACTGTACTTCTCATTAAACACAACAAACTCAACCAAACAATCTGGATGAACGTGTTCGTTATCAGCCAAGTGACTGCAGCAGCTACGAAATACCTCTAATGAGGAGAAACTCGTGACATTTACACACACACAGAGAGTTGTCATTAATGAAGTGTGTTGGACAGATGAACACACCTCATATGCCTTAAACCTGCAAAGGAAATAATTGCTGCCATCACAACAAAGCTTCCACAGACTCTACCCTCCTGTTCACGGCACAAATGCCACTATCTTGTTCAATAATACAACCAATCTCATTGTACACATTAGAATCGGATTCTACTGCAACTTTAAAGCTTTTAAATACATTACACTACATGCTATTTATTTGAATTGAATATCACTTCCAAAACACATTTTGGACCAACATCACAATATCAGAATTGGGAAAAAATAGCTTTATCGAAACTTACAAAAACCGAATAGGTTTCAAAAGTCCCAAATGTACTGATTACTCAACTAGCTGGCGTTTGGGACAGACTTTTTCTATCAATTTCTGCTGTCAATTTGTGTGTGCTAAAATTGGTATTTATCTCAAAAAATAATAATAATAGTCATTTGCTCCAAAACTCTGTGGTTCTAAATACCTAAATGTAATCTCTACACAGAACTAAAATGACTAACGTTGCTGCTACAGTTTGATGTCAATCATACAATCATCTTGGCCCCACCTACTGTCTCTGATTGGGTTAATCCATCCGTGACACTCATCTGCTAAATTTATTTGTAACCGGATCCCAGGAAATTTGGAAATGCTTGTCCGCTTCGGTTTATTGTCTTTTGCATAACTGTAGATAATGTAAGCAGTACTTTTGAAAAACAAATTTATATTTTTGTCCCAAAAAACAACGTAGTCTACAAAAAAGAGTAATGGATAAAATAGGATTAACTTAATTGCATTTGTCTCAGTCTCAGGCTGAAAATACACCATTCTGATCTGTATGCAAACTTTACAGTTCAAAGAATGCTTGAGGAAGCTGAATGAAGGTCGAAGAGAACATGAAAGCTTCTCAAAAATCTGACACACCAAGGAGAATGAAGCAGCAGGAACCAATAATGTGTGTTAAAGCAGCATGTCTGCGGCTTGTAAGTGAACTCTAGGATGTTATTTTTATGCAGTACTGCTATTACGGAGTATCCACAGCATGTGTTCAAAAGCTGGTAATCTGATGTGGACTTCAGATGATTAAGGTGCTATCAAATAGAGTTTCTTCATGCCTGCTCTAGTCATTGGTGGTGTTTTTTTCTGTCCTGTGCTTGGATTAAAACCCGAACATCCATGAAGATTGTCAAATCAACGGAAAAGAAAAATGTCCTTAGTGCACACTAGCCAGTGTTATTTGTGATTTAACTTAAAGGGAGTGCTTCATTTGGACCATGTCCAGTGCAGAACCATTGCATGCTGTTGTTTGGATGAAATCACAGGAAAATACTTTCTGTGGTATTTTCCAGAATGTTCCATCTGCGGAGAACCCCAAAGACTCTCTGCTCTTAATACCAACAAGATTCAAGGAAGGACACCTCCTCCTGGTTGGTTATCTCTCTTCAGTGTGTTGCTTTGAGAGAGAATTTGCATGAATATGCTTCATGAATCTTGATTAACTAACTTATACTACGGAGCAACCTTTCTGAGTTATACAATTAAACATTATTGAAAATGATCAAGGATGCCATTCAATAAATGCAAATTCCATCACTGTTTTGGATGATGGTTTGTGTCTTTCTTGCCAGAAAAACTCAGTGGATGTTCTGCATAGGGAATCTGCATGTCCTGGCTGTGGTGAAAATGAAAGGAATTAAGTATCATCTGTATAAAAATGGGGCAATAACAGAATCTTGAACACTATGTAATAACATCATCTTAGATCTTAGTGTCCTTCAGACTAGTTCAGGGATAACTTGTTAAAGCTGGATGTTTCTGTTACCCATACAACCATAAAGGTCATTAATAATTGTGGGAATACAATAGCAGCTTCTAGAAATGTACTGCAGTTCAAAAGTTTGGGGTTGGTGAGATTTAAAAAATTTTCTTTTTTTAATTTTAGTCATTCTTATGCTTACCAAGACTATTTATTTCAGAAACACTAAAAACAATAACAGTTCTTTATTTTAATATATTTAAATGTTTAATTTTTTCCTGTGATGGCAAAGCTGAATTTTCAGCCGTCATTACTCCTGTGTTCAATCTCTCATGATCCTTCAGAAATAATTTTTTGGTGCTGAAGAAACCATCAATGCTGAAAAAGTTGTGCTGCTTAATATTTTTGTGGAAGATGAATAGAAAGTTTAAAAAGAACAGCACTTACTTGAAATAAAAATCTTTTGTAACATTAGATATATCCTTTTTTATTTCTCTTTATATATATATATATATATATATATATATATATATATAAAAAGTCTGCAAACATTTGCCCGGTATTGTATGTGTAGATACGGATACAACAAACTGCATGTATTTTTTAAATTTGGGCCAGGTGCCAAAAATAACAAAGCTAAGAACACAATGTAAATCACACTTGATCTTTGTGTCCGTCATACTGCTTCAGGATAAAGGGCAGAAATTAGTTGGGCCAATTCTTTTAACAGTCAGAACACTCATTAACTGCAAAAGGTCATTTTAAAGGGGTCATATGATGAGATTTAAATTTTTCCTTTCTCTTTGGAGTGTTACAAACTCTTGGTGCATAAAGAAGATCTGTGAAGTTGCAATGACTAAAGTCTCAAATCCAAAGAGATATTCTTTATAAAAGTTAAGACTTGTCCATGCCTACCTAAAACGGCTCGTTCTAACACACCCCCACGTCTACGTCACGATGTGGGAAGATTTGCATAACGCCGCCCAAATGTTCACACAAAGAAAGAAGGCTTAACTTTGTTTCTCTTTGAAGTATTGTTGTTGCCGTGTGTTTCGTTGTGAAAGCGAAACTACTTTGTTTGGCCTTCCAAAAGAGGATGATATCCACTTCCTCATGCCTGGAGCTGATCCGGGCTGGTCGTGGAGGAAATACATCAACTTCACGCTGTGGATCGCCGGATCGGCTTACGGTGGACAAAGAGGAGTCCAACCCGGGGTCGTCACATGTGGTTGTTGTAAGCCCACCGGCCGCTCCTTCGTCGAATCGAATCTGTAGTTGTGCGCACAGAACACCTCAGCCTCTCTCGCTGGACTGCAGTTCTGTGGGTTCCTTTGTACTCCAGCTAACGAGCTTGGACAGGAGTCAGTTGGCACTCATGAGCCTGTCAAGCTGCTGCTGCTGCAAGAGCAGGAGGTGCAAGAGAGGGGAGCCCAGTATACACACACACAGGAAACACAATTGTTAGGCCCCGTCCACACAGAGACGCGTTTAGCTGTATACGCATACATTTTGTATAGTATAGGCCAGGGATCCTCAAATCTGGCCCACGAGATCCACTTTCCTGCAGAGTTTAGCTCTAACCCTAATCAAACACACCTGAGCATACTAATCCGTGTTTTCAGGCTCATTAGAAAATCACAGGTAGGTGGAGTTTGATCAGGGTTGGAGCTAAACTCTGCAGCGCATTGGCCCTCCAGGGCAAAATTTGAGGGACCCTGGTATCGGTGTTTCGTCAAGATGGTCCTCACTGCAGAACACAAGATCCAGGGGCGAGGTTGGATCCAACCACGCCCCCTGGATCTTTGTTCTGCAGTGAGGGGCTACTGGTTTTGTCCACACGGATCCGGCGTTTTGGGAGAGTGAAACCGATATTTTTTTAAACCGGGTCCCAGAGTGGATACATCTGAAAACACCACCGTTTTCTTGTGGACAGCGAAGCCAACGATGACGTCATCAGCCCACGTCTCACCCCTAGTCAGACACCGCTACGTCACGTAACAGCAACAAAAACATGAACAAACACTGAACGATTGTCTTCTTATTAACTAACATTAACACAGATTAATAAATGTATTGTTCCATGTTTGTTTGTATACCGCGCGCAAGGTTTATGCGCATAGTCCAAGTCTTCTTCTCCGTTTTTAGTGTATCTCTGTGGCAGAATTACAGCACCATATCCACCTTTTTCTTGTCGTAAAAATGGGCGCGGCCATTTGTAAATTCTATGGGTCTGGCTTCCGGTCCCATCTGCGTCCACTCCGTCCAGCTATTTCTAGCTGAACAAAACAGTTTGTTTTGCTGCTTGATATTGAAAGTTGGTGTGTCTTATCATATTATTTTAATGTATTATCTTAATTATGAACACACTGGTTTGTAGTGCAAACAGTTTTACCGTTTACTGCACGTTGTTATTCTCCTCGTTATTTACCTATAGCGGCTAATGAACCGGAAGTCTCACCCATAGGCTTACTTCCGCGTTGAAGAAAAAGGTGTATAGGCTACTGGTCTGGCATGTATACTACATCGTTTTGTGTCGGTTTCGTGTGGATGCAGATATTTCTTGAGACAAGGGGGAAAAAAGATCGGATAGGGAAAGCTCTCGCTTCGTGTGGACGGAGTCTTAGTCAAATCATAAAATAAATAAAAAGAAACTTATACATCCCTATGGACGTAACAGTACCAAAAGTGTACAAATTAGCAGCTTTTGACATTTTGTGCCTTTTTTCTGAGTGTATAACAGAGTTCAGTGAAACATATCATGAATGCACTGCAGTATTGATGTGCTCAGTGCTCATCTGTGTGTTGTTGTTCAGGTATGGTCGTAGGAGCATGTTGCTGGTGTCCTGTGTGTCATCTCAAGCACCTTTCTCAAGCACCTACATCATGTTTGCTGCCTTCCGCTTCCTGACCGGATTCGCACTGAAGGGAATCATTAACAGTTGTGCTAAGTAAGTCTTCTCTGAAGCCTAACTTCTCTGAAGGCCTTTATCCTTTATCCAAGACTCAAATACATCGAGCTGTTTATCCAGTCTGAGCATTTTAAGGTCCGAAATGAAAAGAGTCCACTCTTAACATGGCAAATTGCAGTATGGTCATTTGACTGCACTGACACTATTGGATGAGAACAAAACTTAAACTGAATTAAGCCGGAAGATGACACTGTTGCATTTTGTCGAGCTGCTTTTAACTGAATTCATTAAATAATGGAAGAACTTTAAAGTTATCGTACTGAACTGAATCAACACTGAATGCTGTCTATAATGACACTATATTGTTTGTTTTAGAGCTTGAATTTGAATTATTCTCAAATTTCATGAAGTTTGCATGCTTTGCAACAATCTGTATTGTTCTCATATTTCATAAAGTATGCAAGCTGCTTTGAAACAATTTGTATTGTATAAAGTGCTATATAAATAAAAGAGAAAAGCTGAATTACAAGGTTGCAGGTTTATAAAATTAAGTATTAAAATTATGTTTTATTAAAGAACATTGTGTTAACCTTTTCTCTTCTGGAAATAGGAAAGCATGTAGAAAGAGTTTGTAGACTTTTAAAATATTTTGTAAATGTTTCGTGAAACGTTTTTGTAACATTTCCTATGTTTGTTTAAATCTAATCTGTTCTGCAGGTATTGAGTGGTAGACACTAAACACCGTACTTTTATCGGTGTGTTCGGCAGTATTTCCTGGAGTTTAGGCAACATGCTGCTGGCCGGCTTTGCCTATCTGGTCACTGATTGGAGGATGCTGATTATTACTGTCACTTCTCCTCTTCTTCTTGCTACAGCCATTTGGTGGTAAGAGAACAACATGTTTTTAAAGAAAAAAATATGTGTTTGTCTATGAGTGTTCTGAATCTTTCTCAAAGTCAGAGCCTTTTTATAAGGTCATGTCATGTTTTTTCTCAGCTGGAAAGATCTCTCTCTCTCTCTCTCTATCTCTCTCTCTCTCTCTCTCTCTCTCTCTCTCTCTCTCTCTCTCTCTCTCTCTCTCTCTCTTTCTTTTGTTCCTTTCACACACCAGTCAGTAAATTCAACAATAATACAACTCACATGTAGTACTGACAGTACATCCATGAGCCTCAGCACTTCTCCCAGATAATGTAATTTGTCGTAAATGACCTCCAAGAGCCTTTGTACCTTTCGTCGTCAGATTATATAATATATTTCTGTTCTAGCTCTGTTCTAAACAAGCTGTCAATCCCATTGTGAATGACATAATCAATTCTCTGTTTTTTAAACTATATGCATTTAATGTTTTGTATTTTACACTTTACTTCTATACTGTACACAATGAGTATAATTTTATTAAAAATAGCTTTTAATATAAATATATCTTACCATAATCATTTAATGATGTCATTAACATCACTTCATTCTCCATTTTCTTTCAAGTTTGTAATAAAAAGTTTGTAATTTCTGAGCTGGTTATAACTAAAAATGCTTAAAATCATTAAAACATATTTCTTCTGTGAAGAAAGAACGATTGGTTAATATATTTGTAGGTGGTTTCCTGAATCTGTGCGGTGGCTAATAGCCAATGGAAAGGCAGAAACAGCATACAGATTTCTGCAAAAATATGCTACTTTTAACGAGAGACCAGATTTTTCATCTAGAGTCAAACTGTAAAAAAAAAGTAAACAGGATCTTATTTGCCATCTATGTTTGCCATCTGTCACGAATTCAGTCCATGGATTTCCGTTTATTCACCACCAGAGGTCACCCTTTCCATTTCATTGACTCTCACACAACACAAACTGTTGCATAGCACCCCGGACTACATATCCCATCATTCTTTGCACGATTTGCACACTGCCCTGATTGCACACAGCTGTTTCTAATCACCTCACTCACTATATAACACCCACTCTAACCACATTTCTCTGCTGAGTATTGT